TTGTATCCGGTATACATACAGCAGACACAAGTAAAGTAGTGTGCTGTTTCAAACATAACCATAAACACTGTGTGTGCTATCTAAGTAATTTTGTAAAGCATATCAACACATTTTTGTGGCTTGTGTGTTTATGGTCTGTTTGCTTGGGAACGAGGTCTGTTTGCTTAGTGGGAGTTTTTTTTCCCATCATTGCAGAATGTATGAAATCCAGAGTCTGTGAAAAGCAAAATTCCTTTACAAAATTCCACACATTTACGAGCTTAAAAAACGATATGGCTCCTGTTTACCCCCAAACCAGCTGAGCATTCTGGGATACGCGTGTGCCTCATCCTGTACCGCGGAATCTGCTGAGTCACACATTCCCAACCCAGCGATGGGCCACACATTCCCTCTGCCTTTATGATCCTGTGTTTTCTGTCTCTGCACGTGGAATGCAAAGATTCATATTGTGCTTGTAAACATCCCCTCCCACACACACGTGTTTACTTAGCTATCTAAATGGGGACACCTACCCGTCGCGCACGCTAACCCGAACCCTGAACCTACCCGTCGCGCACGCTAACCTGAACCCTGAACTTTCCCGTCGCGCACGCTAACCCGAACCCTGAACTTTCCCGTCGCGCACGCTAACCTGAACCCTGAACTTTCCCGTCGCGCACGCTAACCTGAACCCTGAACTTTCCCGTCGCGCACGCTAACCTGAACCCTGAACCTTCCCGTCGCGCGCGCTAACCTGAACCCTGAACTTTCCCGTCGCGCACGCTAACCTGAACCCTGAACTTTCCCGTCGCGCACGCTAACCCGAACCCTGAACTTTCCCGTCGCGCGCGCTAACCCGAACCCTGAACTTTCCCGTCGCGCGCGCTAACCCAAACCCTGAACCTTCCCGTCGCGCGCGCTAACCCGAACCCTGAACTTTCCCGTCGCGCACGCTAACCCCACCCCTGAACTTCCCGTCGCGCACGCTAACCTGAACCCTGAACTTTCCCGTCGCGCACGCTAACCTGAACCCTGAACTTTCCCGTCGCGCACGCTAACCCGATCCCTGAACTTTTCTGTCGCGCACGCTAACCCGACCCCTGAACCTACCCGTCGCGCACGACAACCCGAACCCTGAACCTTCCCATCGCGCACGCTAACCCGAACCCTGAACCTACCCGTCGCGCACGCCAACCCGAACCCTGAACTTTTCTGTCGCGCACGCTAACCCGACCCCTGAACCTACCCGTCGCGCACGCTAACCCGAACCCTGAACTTTCCCGTCGCGCACGCTAACCTGAACCCTGAACTTTCCCATCCATACAGCGTCCGCGGTTCAACTTGTTGAGACTGTTTTCCAAAGATGGCTCCGAGTAGGCTACATTTGATCAGTTCATTAATTCCCAGGGAATTGAAAACATGAGCTTGGCGTCGCTATAGGAACCGAGTTCCTGCTTTCTTGGAAGAGATAAGAAAAGAAAAGAAATGATTAAGAAAACATGAAGAGATTTTAAGAAAGAGATACCTACTATATCAAAACATAAGATTATTCAGATCATACAAGCCTTTGGTTAAAGCAACAGCAGGTGTTCTGACTGTAAACCCGACAGCACATGTCTCTCTCTCTCACACACACACACTCACTCACAGTGATGTGCTTATCAGGCCGTGTTTCGTTTTTCTGATCAGGTTTGTTGTGATGTGAATGTTTGTGGTCAGGAAGTCTCACCGATCTGCAGCAGCACAGGCGTGACCAGCGCCGTCTCCATGGCATAGCAGAACTCTCTCCCGAACATGACGGCTCCGTGCATCACCCACTGGCGCAGTGGGATCCGGTCTATAGAAACCTCACTGACGGACTCCTCCTGACACTCCAAGCCCTGCCCTCCGACCCCGCCCACTCCATTAGCCCCGCCCCCTCCTCCGTGTTTCTCCGCGGGCGGCCCCAGGGCCTGCATCTGCACGGCGTCGGCCTCGGTGTTCTGCGGGGCCATCCTCGCTGTCGTCGGCATGCACTCGGAGCACGGGTCACGTGTGGCTCCACGCACGGCCAACGGCAAACACACACAAATCTAGGAAGAACAAAGCCTTTCCGTCGAGGAGCTCAGCCGTGGATTGGTATATATCCTGAAACGTGGCGTTTGAATAAGGCCTCCTGCCGGAGCCCTGGGACGGGCCGAGTCGGGGGATTTGGGTCGGACAGGGGAGGATATGACTCTATCATGAGGTCACTCCCGCTGGTGTGATGTATGTCAGTGTGTATGTGTGGGTGAGTGTGTGTGTGTGGGTGTATGTGTGTGTGTATGTGCATGTACTGGTGTGTGTTTGTGTCTGTGTGTGAAGGTGTGTTTACTGTCTACTGGAAACAGTAAAAATCCATATCAATTGCCATTCAGTTAATACCAGTTTCATGATTTGTATAGAGGCGGTGCTGTAGAGGGCGGAGGGCAGGCCGAGGGGTGAAGGGCAGGAGAAACCAGACGGAAAGCACCGGAGAATCCCCATGGAGTGACCGATCAATCTGAAAGAGGGAAGGAGAGAGAGAGAGAGAGAGAGAGAGATTTAAATTCACAAAAAGGTCTCACACAATATGCATGTACTTTTATGCCCATCAATGCATGTACTTATGCCCATAAATAAATGTTTTTTATGCCCATAAATGCATGTACTTTTATGCCCATAAATGCATGAACTTTTATGCCCATCAATGCATGAACTTGTATGCCCATAAATGCATGTACTTTCATGCCCATCAATGCATGTACTTATATGCCCATAAATGCATGAACTTTTATGCCCATCAATGCATGTACTTATGCCCATCAATGCATGTACTTATGCCCATCAATGCATGTACTTTTATGCCCATCAATGCATGTTTTTATGCCCATAAATGCATGAACTTTTATGCCCATAAATGCATGAACTTTTATGCCCATCAATGCATGTACTTATGCCCATCAATGCATGTACTTTTATGCCCATCAATGCATGTACTTATGCCCATCAATGCATGTACTTATGCCCATCAATGCATGTACTTTTATGCCCATCAATGCATGTTTTTTATGCCCATCAATGCATGAACTTTTATGCCCATAAATGCATGAACTTTTATGCCCATCAATGCATGTACTTATGCCCATCAATGCATGTACTTTTATGCCCATCAATGCATGTACTTATGCACATAAATAAATGTTTTTTATGCCCATAAATGCATGAACTTTTATGCCCATAAATGCATGAACTTTTATGCCCATCAATGCATGTACTTATGCCCATAAATGCATGTACTTTTATACCCATCAATGCATGTTTTTATGCCCATAAATGCATGAACTTTTATGCCCATAAATGCATGAACTTTTATGCCCATCAATGCATGTACTTATGCGCATAAATAAATGTTTTTTATACTCATCAATGCATGTACTTATGCCCATAAATACATGTTTATATGCCCATAAATGCATGAACTTTTATGCCCATAAATGCATGTACTTTCATGCCCATCAATGCATGTACTTTTATGCCCATCAATGCATGTACTTATGCCCATCAATGCATGTACTTATGCCCATCAATGCATGTACTCATGCCCATCAATGCATGTACTTATGCCCATCAATGCATGTACTTATGCCCATCAATGCATGTACTCATGCCCATCAATGCATGTACTTATGCACATAAATAAATGTTTTATACACATCAATGCATGTACTTATGCCCATCAATGCATGTACTCATGCCCATCAATGCATGTACTTATGCCCATCAATGCATGTACTCATGCCCATCAATGCATGTTTTTTATGCCCATAAATGCATGAACTTTTATGCCCATCAATGCATGTTTTTTTATGCCCATCAATGCATGAATTTTTATGCACTTTTATCCAAAGTAAATTACATTGCGTTCAATTACATTTGATGAGTTCATGCATTTCCTTGGAATTGACCCCATGACCTTGGTGTTGCGAGCACCATGCTCTGTGGTGGTGTTCACACATGCAAGACTCACTGACTCAATGCTAAGGTTGTTTCCATCATATTAAGCCCCGCCCCATATTATTTCCCGCTCAATAGCAGCAGAAAAACAGCAGAATTAACATATTTGGCGGGATTATACGTGGAGCTTTCAGAGATTAGCAGTAAACAAGCGGCTGTGATTATGGCACGTTTCAGGACAGGACGGAAATTCGAGTTAAAAGTCCAAAGCATTAAAGTGTGCGCAAACAATCAGCTCCGCAGCGGCCCTTCATAACACGACTGAGATGTGCGGTCTAGTTGTTGAGACCCAACACAATGCACTTCACTTAAGGTTCACACTGGAGTAACAGAGCCCACTTTGTGCTTGTGGGCACGAGTCTCCTGATTACACCACGCTGCTATTTACGGCTCAGAGGATTCAGAAACCAGGCAAAGAGGAAGAGAAACAAGCATTTCCTGAATGCCACACCAAAAACAAACACTGAGCAAACCAGTCAGTCAGTCCGCGTGTGTAAAAGTGACGCTGTGCTCTTCCTCCTAAAGCTGCATTACTGTATCACAACTGGGCTTCCTGGTTGTTCTAGCGCAAGATCTCAGGCTCCTGCGGGCTTGTTTATCATGTGAGACTCTGATAAGACACAAATACTATCAGATTACAGCTCTGTTCTGTGTAGTAATGACTTAAATATCATGCATTTGGAACAGCTGACTAGGATTCCCATGTGCCACTTAGGGGTCACGGGGGCGAATGTCTGATCTGCCAGCTGATTGGTTATCTAATCCAGAGTCAACGGGACACACAGGATCTGCTCCCAAATCTACTGAGCTGCTTATGTAGTCAGATTGAATGAATATTAAGCAGTAAGAAGCATTCACAGAGGTAACAAAGTTAATTTAGTAAACTAAATGCATTTCAATAACCACTGCAGGGAATAAAAATATAGAAGTTGGCAAACTAAAGCAAGACTCATTTCTATTTATAAACATTTTGTAAAATATTATTCAATATTGTGATATTATTTAATATAGATTTAATCTTGAAAATATACAAATATTCTATTTTGAAAAATAGTTGGACAGACATATTCAAGTAAAACAATAAATCCCTGAATGCATTACAACCAGTGGAAAAAAAACATCAGTAAATAAAGCAAGACAAATCTTTTATTATAAATATCATGTCAGGTATTATACAATATTATGGTATTAATTTAATGTGTATACAATATTGAAATATTGATATTTAAGACAAAAGTTCATTATAAATATTTAAATGATTACACAATATTATTGTATTAATTTAATGTGTATAAAATATTGAAACATTGATATTTAAGACAAACGTTAATTATAAATATTTAAATGATTACATAATATTATTGTATTAATTTAATGTGTATAAAATATTGAAATATTGATATTTAAGACAAAAGTTCATTATAAATATTTAAATGATTACACAATATTATTGTATTAATTTAATGTGCATAAAATATTGAAATATTGATATTTAATACAAAAGTCAATTATAAATATTTAAATGATTACACAATATTATTGTATTAATTTAATGTGCATAAAATATTGAAATTTAAGACAAAAGTTAATTATAAATATTTAAATGATTACACAATATTATTGTATTAATTTAATGTGTATAAAATATTGAAATATTGATATTTAAGACAAAAGTTCATTATAAATATTTAAATGATTACACAATATTATTGTACTAATTTAATGTGTATAAAATATTGAAATATTGATATTTAATACAAAAGTCAATTATAAATATTTAAATGATTACACAATATTATTGTATTAATTTAATGTGCATAAAATATTGAAATTTAAGACAAAAGTTAATTATAAATATTTAAATGATTACACAATATTATTGTATTAATTTAATGTGTATAAAATATTGAAATATTGATATTTAATACAAAAGTCAATTATAAATATTTAAATGATTACACAATATTATTGTATTAATTTAATGTGCATAAAATATTGAAATTTAAGACAAAAGTTAATTATAAATATTTAAATGATTACACAATATTATTGTATTAATTTAATGTGTATAAAATATTGAAATATTGATATTTAAGACAAAAGTTCATTATAAATATTTAAATGATTACACAATATTATTGTACTAATTTAATGTGTATAAAATATTGAAATATTGATATTTAATACAAAAGTCAATTATAAATATTTAAATGATTACACAATATTATTGTATTAATTTAATGTGCATAAAATATTGAAATTTAAGACAAAAGTTAATTATAAATATTTAAATGATTACACAATATTATTGTATTAATTTAATGTGCATAAAATAAGGAATAGACACATTTTTTTAAACTAATTTTAATTTAAAAGGGACAGATATTTACCCCAAATAAATTCTGTTTTTTACTTAATTCAAAAGGCGGCATTGCATAATAAATATTTCTGTGTCATGTATTTTTATTCTTTTTTAGAGATTCACATCATTATCTTTGTCAGGGTGGATTCAAGTAGGAGTTTGGCAGAGTTTCTTCGGTCTGTCGATGTGTAGAAACATCAGACAGCATGACAGTGAGCTGCATAATAAAGACTTCAGAGTCTGCTCACTATATATATATATATATACACATGAGAGTTGGGTACCGTCTGACAGGCTCCCAGCCGAGACTCTGTGCCGTCCATCATTCCTCAGCCATCATTTCAAACACAGTGTTGAGTTTCCCCAAAGCGGCACGAGAGCTTCACGCCATTAGCAATAAGCCAATAAACGCGCGTATTACAGAATCAGACACAATCAAAATCATCTCGTAAGTGTGTCGAGCCGCTCTCCTCGGGGCTTTTGGCAAACGGGGCCTGTCATGTGAGAAGGGAACAGGGGCCCGAACGGGTCGCGCTGGATCCGGTTCCACTGTGGAAAAACTTCTCAAGGCCTGTCAGAGGATCGCTGCGGTTCTGCAGGAGACGACTCGAACCGCACCGATTCACACACACACACACACGGAGAGACCGCCTGATCGATAAACACAACATGAGGAACAGGTGAACGGGCCAACGAGGACTAGGGGAGTGTGGGAACAATCCCAAAAATGATTGGGATGCTCTCAATGTGCATTTTCACCAAGATGCATGCAATGCCATTTATTCTAGAAAGGTGCTTTATGTTATTAATGCACAGGAGGAGCACTAACGGTTAATAAAGCTTGTGTTACACGCTAAACATCTCTCCCGTGAGCGACACGTGCACACTTAAATCAGGGACGGAGAGGTGCCGAGATGCCTCTTAAAGTTCAAGGTTATAAACTATTTTAGATACTGACTAGGTTTAGCAAATAGCATAACATGCAAATCTGCAGCTAGTTTAACCTGTTAATCCCCAACACCTGCGATCACATGACCCTCCGGCATCCAAACATGACAATAACACACAACATTTGCTCAGTCAGCAATCAGCAATCGATCGCTCACACTCATTAGCAGCGCTTCAGCATGACTGACATCTCAATG